GGTCCTTGAACAACTGTCCAGCAGAAATTCAAAGTGTACCCATATTCGCCCTTTTTTGTGATCATCATAAAAACTAGGTTTTTTTTTTTTTTAAAGATGATAACCACATGCAGTATTTCAAGTGTTAAAAATTTTAAATAGTCGCGACTATTTTCGCGAAACTACGTCATGGAGCTCTTTTTAGACCACAGGAACAATGCATGTGCCCTCTTAAAACCCCTCATATTTTTAAAAAGTTCCTGTAGTCCTTCAAAGTAATTAATATTACGCTGACAGAAATTTTCAGGAGGTGCAGGCCTAGGTCTTCAAATCCTTTTCAAGATCACCACGGTAGTTTCTCTTTGACTATATCTCCTACAACAAAGCCAAAATTTGTGCAAGTTTCCCTTTGCACAAATCACGTGTGTGTGATCAATAACTTCAAAACAACTCTCAGTCACAAGATTTCGAATTTAATGATTTCCGCTCCTCCCTCGATAGCCAATTATTCCTAATAAATGCTTCTTTTTCACCTGTGGAAAGTGTACAGGTCTCGAACGGTAAATAAGCATACGTTTAAATTGGACTTATTCCTCCAAGTATTTGCGGTCAAGACTCAGTTTTCAGGCAGTCGACCTAACTCAGAACACACATCCTGATAAATACAGATAACAGACAAAGAAATACTTTTGGTCGTAAGCGACGACAAAACCCATTTAAAAATCTATTTAATTTCAAGCATCATTCAATCATATGACGTCAACTGCGGCATATTTCACTTACGATGAGTCTCATTTTGTACTTAGAAAGCCCCGAGCTGTAGATTCCGAGTTATTTTTCAATTTCCCTCTTTCCTTAATTATCCAAACTTGTTTTCGCAAAAGTATCCTCCGAAAAAAGGGTCATTAACAGATGTCAAGGCTATCAGGAACGGAAAGCGTGACAGATTATTATCAACTGCACTAAATATAGACTGCGGCCCAAAATTACGCGCGCCTGTTCTTCAAGACACATTGAGTAGGGAACAAAATACGCGCGAATCTAGGACAAATATATCGCGATGTCGTGCGGTTACTTGGACAGAAAACGCGTGAGTGAGTTGTTTCAACATGTTCAAAGGATGAAAAAAAAAATGGACGACAGTTATCAGCCGTTGAATAAATAAAAAACTTATTAGACGTTTTGGTGTGTCGTATACTGCTGATTGCAGTATTATCTATATATAGTCCAAAAAGAACTTAAAAGTTGCTTTGTCTCTGTGCTGTATCAGCAGTGTATATCAATGATTTCTTGATAACTGATATAAGTTACTCTACATAAATATGTACCAGTGAGAGCAGTCATCTCTGTAGGAAAAAAAGTCATCCTCCCAAAACCGCGATAAAGCACTCTTATCCTTCCATAATTAATCTTGTAGAATAACCTTGCCAACCACAACTCTGCGTCACAGGACAGTTCCTGACTTGCACTCATGTCTGCATTATTCTTGATCCTTAAATCACGTGTTGAGTAAATTAACACCATCATATACCTCGCACGCAGTTTATTTTCTATTAAAACCTTCATTGCAACTTGGGCGATTGGTTAGTGCCAATTATTTCCTAGTCTACTGATTTGGTTGAGCAGCGTAAAAATTTTTAAACATCCCCTCTTACATGTAAACATGTCATTCTTTAAGTTGGCACCACATCAGTCACACGCATGGCGGGCATATCATCACTTGCCTTACCAGGCCGTCAAAGAGCCAAACAGCTTTATCTTTGAATAGTCTTCGTTTTGTCGTCCAATGTCATGAGAAATTTGGAGTATATAAGCGACGAAAGGCTACATCTTCTCTTAAGAGCCCATTCAGAGTCAAAAACACATTCGTTCTCTTCTGTAGAGTGTGAAAGAGTGGTATATCTATATCCCAATAGCCGTTGATGGTGGTCATTGAAACGGCTGACTGAGCGCATTCCGCAGTCAGATTCGTCATCTGCGAAACATTCTTCGTAAGATGAGTTACCCCGACGATTATCCATTCTCAAAGCGATATTTCCAAATCTCTGTTTCCTTTCCTCATGCGAGGCTTTAGCTTCTCCTCACACGGTAGCAGTCATTAAAGTCCAAATGTCAAACTGTGAGTCACATGTGAATGAATAGCAGCAAAAATATTCACAAATTACATACGAGTGTATCTTGGGCGTAACTACAAGAGGGAGTGATTAGTTGTCTATGTAGGCTCATTAATTGACGGGCGCTTTGTTTGGCTTTGCTCATTTGCCAGAAATTGCCAGATGGAAGGAAACTGCGGTTTTCTCGAATAAAATTTTGACACATTACCAATACAGATAGAATCCAAAAAAAATTTGAGACATTTTTGTGAAACGTGCGAATATCGATATATTCTTAAAGGACTTGAGAAACAATGATGATGGACCAAAGCCATGATGAATAAAAGTAGGGATCGAGTAAAGCAAAGAACCTGACAAATCAGGTTTAGTGACTAAATCAAGACGTCTAGTTCATAATGACCCGTTCTTCTTCTGTACTAAAAACTGATACACAGAATTGATATGTTAACATACAGTGTTCTGTAAAGCACAGCGGGCAATCGCTCATAGGCGGTTGACCTTGAAAGTTCTTTTCGTGACCTTCTCATTCGTAACCTCACGTTTTCATTCGAGAAAATACGAGAAGTCCTCTGTGCGCTGTAAGAACACGTATTTTGTACAAGCTTATTGGTTCCTCGAGTGTCACTGGTAAAGTCCAAAATTTTGATTTTAAAAGGTATACCCGTCCACTAATCTTCAACCATGTAGGTTTGATAATTACACTCAGGCAGAGGCTACTTCCAAATTTGTAGCATTTTAAAAGATAAAAGGACGTAGTAAAGCCGTTTTGCAAAAATGGCTTAGTGTTGAAGTATTTTCTTTGTCTTGTCAAGAGTGTGAGATATAGAAAAAGTTCTTAGCATCTTAAAAAGGCGCATCATTAAAAAAGGTGACCCATGAGGAATCGAACCTGAGACTTGCGGAGTTCGCGTTCTGATGATCTTCCACTTCACTGACAGTGCACAGTTTCCAGGGCGAGTAATTCCATTACTAGTTTCTTACTCCGGTTACTCATTGTTATATCTCACTCAAATCTTCTTTGTCATCAAGGTTTTTCTCACAAATGTAGTGAACTAGGTCTTCAGGAGACAAATTTTGCTGAAAATGTTTTTAAATTATCGTCACCCTCTGCTCCATCGCTCCCTTCCTCCGCTCGAGGTTGGGGGAGGGGAAAGGCTGAGCACTATCCCTTTCCTCAGAAAGGAAACTGAGGGGAGGGAGTGAAAAAACAATTGTTTATGGTGGGTTGACGGCCCCGTCGGATCCTGGACAGAACCTAAGTTGAACTCTGAGATAATGAGGACTCATACGTACAATTTGTCTACTTCGCAGTCGTCTTTTGAGTGCCACGCAACGGTGCCCCGCGGGAGGAGTAGCGTTGCGTGACATCCTGAAAAACGGCTCCAAAGTAAGACTAATGCTCCGTTAATTCAGTCTGTTATCATTCTTTTTTAAAATTTAAAGAACTTTGTGATTTTTCTCTTTCACACGACGTTGGAAATTTTGACGATTGATTTACTAATATATTATTATGGCATACCGGCTTAGCTTTCCTAATTCAGTCTGTTATCATTCTTTTTTAAAATTTAAAGAACTTTGTGATTTTTCTCTTTCACACGACGTTGGAAATTTTGACGATTGGTTTACTAATATATTATTATGGCATACCGGCTTAGCTTTCCTAAGTGTCATGAAAACATCCTGGCGGTCTAAACAAGCTGAGTCACGTACCCGGTTACGTAATACTTACCAGAAGTAAAGTTTGTTGTCAGATTAAGCGCCTACATTTCCGATTGAATATGTTCATAGAGGAAGGCACTTCTAAAGTTCCAATTGTCCGTTTTATCAAGGCGTTTTCACCCAGAGATTTGAGTGAGGTTCTTTTTATAGACGACATCGGAGACAAAAGTGGAAAAATTTTGATTCATCTGATCTTCAAGTTGCATTTGCAAACTATCGGATGTCATTCGTAACTTATCGAATGTCTTTAAGCGTGTCAGTGTCTGAAACGTGATACCGAAGTACCTTTTGAAATCTTCACTGGCGAATGTCCTGGGAACTAATAATATTGGGTCATGTGACAGTCTTTCTTTGGGCCGATCGATTCTCATCACGAATAATGAATTTTGATGTTGTCTGATGCTGGATTGGGAGACAACAACTACGACTATTCGTTGGGTTGACTAACCATCATTTGACGTACTATTGGTAAGAGACTTTTATTCGTGATTTGTGTCGCCAGATTCTGTCATACTTGCCGGTGTAGAGTTACAGACCTAACCCTAATTTTCAAACGGGACGGTGTGTTGGTAGAGCATATCATATACAACTGAGCTAAATCCTCTCATGTAAAATGGTTCTTTTTGGACTCGTTCACGCCTTTTGCGGTTGTTTTCTACTCACACACCTTATGATTCATAAAATCGAGACTTCGAACCGAAAAATTCGAAACTACAAAGCTAATTTCAACGTTTTAAGTTATTTGAATATACTAAAGGCTGTTTTATTATAATCCACCATGAGATATATCAATTTACATTTTTAAGAAGAAGCTGTTCCTTCGCTACGACCAAGAATACACAAGAATGCATACAGATTATCCTGTTAAAGTCAATACTAAATTTGGACCGAAACTAGTTTTTAAATATTGGAGACACTTTTTTCCTTTAATAGAACTGTAAACGATTGGATTTTTGTCTTACGAAAGCTCAGACGGAAGTCAAACATGTTAGTTTGGACGTTAGATCTTGAAAAAAAGCGTTTCTCAAAATTAATATTCGGCTTAACTCACTTCCGGTAAGACGTTCGAGAGCGTGAGACTTCCGTAATTTGACGTCAGCGGAGAACCTTCGTAAACAATGCGTGAAGTGACGTGGCGGAATCATTCGCTACAGTGAGTTCGATGTGAGAAGTTGATTAGCATATATGTTAAAAAGTTTACTTCATCGAGAACTTTGTTAGACTTACCAAACTTTATTCCACGTTGTTGCACTGTTAACTTGGTGTCTCCCTTTGTCCATCGGTGATCTCTGGCTTCGTCCTGTCCGGAGGAAGTCCCAGAACTCCGCCATGGATGAGGGGGCTTCATCAGTGCTATAAGTTCTAGCTTGAGCATCGTGAATTCGTTCTACACGTTCTTCGCGTTAGTAGCTTCTACCTCGATAGGATTTTTGAGGTCAGCCTATAACATGGCACAGATTCCAGGCATTTTTAATGCCGCTCGATATTTTGGTAAGTTCTTCTTTTAACGCTTGCAATGCGCGTTAATCCAACTATCTCGATGTAACCAGTTCCACCGGCTTCTAGATTTCGACCAGCAAAAGACAGCCTCGAACTCGATGTTATGGATGTCACGAAGGTTAACATAGATATTGGGAGGGTGGGACAATAATGTTCTCCAAAATTTTTTCTGGAGTGTTTTTTTTTTCAATCGCATGTTTTTTATTTTATTTGAAAAGTTCGTGAAGGTAAATTTGTTACACTATTTAGACACAATTTACTTCCGGTTGAACGATATAAGCTGATTTTGATACTGTGAAGCACAAACATTTTGAATCGTATATAAATTTCTATGTACGGATTGAACGAAATCAGGTGTGAATAGTTTTGGCTGTGATAGATTTGTTTTAAATTTAATTTAGTTAATCAAAGGTACGGTTGAACTTCTTGTAGTAAAAATATTAAGTAGCCCACGCAAGTAGTTATTCTATTCAGATGGCATGTGGGAAAAGCAAGATATGTATATCATTTCTTGTACACAGGCATGTGTGGTGAACATTGTCCACTTTCTGTATTGTGCAATAAAATGTGTTTCAATTTAATCATGCAAAATCACTGTCACAGGGAAAGAGCATTTAGATTTGAAAATACAACAAATATATTTACCTGGTATATAACTTGCTTGAGGCTTCAGTACACTTATTTTTTTTATTATATTATAACAGTCTGGTATTTGTAGAAAAAAGTCACCACTGAATAGTTATGCATTATGGATAGATGTAGTTATTGTCACAGTGTTCTACATATCATTAACTTTCATTATTTGAATTTAAGGTGGTTCTAGCCCTAATAAAGGCCAGCAAGATTCATTTTGGAACCACCAATCAAGCAGGTATGTTGTGTTTATTCCTAAACTCTAACTCCAAAGATCTGATTATTGACTCTCCCCTCTTATTGCGACAATTTCCTCATGAGCTAGTTTCAAGAATTTGGTGTTAGATCAAGATAACAACTTCAACCTGATAAGTTTGGGTATTCTCATTGCCTGTTTTCTGGACAGTGTATGGGTGTTATGGGGAGAAGTTACATTTCAATCACTTCTTGGAGTTAAAAGGTTAACTATACATTTCCTAAGGTGCGGATAAGGAGAATTTGTTTGACAATCAAGAGCTTCCTTGGTTGGTGATCATTTCCCTTATTCTCATGACCTTATTGTTTGTTCTGGGGTGATGGCATAAGGAGACATAAGATGCTAGTCACTCTCAGAGGTTAATCTGCTTTTAGAACTTCCATTCAGTTTATGTCAGGAAGCTGATGCAATGAAAAAGATTCCCTCAAGAGGAACACCATTCTCTTAACCCCTTCCATCTCTGTACCAAAGGAAATATTTAGAGAACAGTATGGAGAATGTGATAAAAGTGTATATATATATATGTGTGTGTGTGTGTGCGTGAAGGTTAATTGTCCATGTTTCAGAGACCTGGGTTATTTCTAGAGATTTTCCAATTCAGATTCAGAAAGATACTTTATCTTGCACTAAATTATTTTGAGAATGATTTGACATAGGGAGGTCTTTAATAACAACCATTTTTTTACTGTTTATTTTTCAGTGAAAATAATTTCTCAGGATCAGAAGCTCTGCAAAACTCTTTCGAAGTAGCAACATCTCCAACACAGAGCGTGGATCCTTTTATGAGTTGTACTCAGGTAAAAATTTTGATAGGGACAAAAATATTTATTTTTCATCACTTAAACCTAATTAACACAGAGAGGGTAGAGAAAAGGGGGCGAAAAGGAGTCTTTGTACATTAAAACATAACGCAATATACCCCCATACTTGTTATTAGAATAGACAATTTGACTTGCAATTGTTTTAATTTCAATGCGGAGACAGCTTAAAGTGAAAGAGGGCAAACTTTTTCCTCCTCCCTATGGGAACCTTATTGAGCACAGCTTGAAATCTTGACCAGAAAAAATCTGGTGATGAATTCTTTTTTTGAAGTATTGAGGTATAAAAGCAAACACCATATATTGTAAGGGCAAACTAATGGGCATATTGTTTTCAATTTGGTGAAAAATATTGCCACTTGGCAGGCTGGAGATGGGTTATGTATATAGTAGGAGAAAATTCAAACATTTTTCTCTAGAGCTATTGGCCAACCAGTCTAATAAACCATTCTTTAATACCTGCCCAGCAATAATTGTACTTTTTTTTTCCATAGAATGAATTTGATGGTTGGGATGAGTGGCCGGCTGAATTAGACGAATTGCTTGGCAATACTGCTACTCATCATTATGAGTCGGTAAGAACACTTTCCCTGCAATTTGGTTAGGTTAAAAATGAGAGTAGTGTTCTATAGGCTTTTTTAGCTTTTCTAGTAACAGATTAAATATGATCAACTTTTGTTTGTAGGAAAGTGTGGATGGTTTTACTGATTCCGAACTTGTGGTTCCACCACATGATGACAACGAGTTGACAGGGAGTACAACTTCATCCTCACAATCATCTCCAGCCATAATGGATACTAATCATGATCAAAGTACTTGGGTTGAGGAGGAAACCTCCCCCTACAGTTACCCAAAAGTTGCAAATATGGTTAATCAGTCTATGACACCACAAATGGATTCTCAGCAGAGGTCATTTTCTGGGGCTGACTTTTTTGATTCTTTTCAACCTGATGCAGTGGTGCAGGTTAGTTATACATCCACTGTTTGACCCCTAAAAGTGACATCTAATTTGTTCCTTTTCACCCCTGAATCACACTTTAAGGTAACAATATTGAAGGAAATGATCCTCAACTAAGGAGAGGCTCTTGATTAGTAAACAAATTCTCCTTGTCAGCATCTAGGAAGTGTTGAGAGAATGATGAATGCATAAATAGGACACTGCATTTTTAAAACTATTTCCTGACTTCTATAGGATTTTT